ATCGAGGCAGTCTAATGTTCCCACCCAGTTTATTCCGTACTCAAAAACTTATAGAGGTCTTCGTGCAAGGTGCCCATTATTGTTCGATGTTAACCAAGGTTTAAATATGGCTACATATTTTTATAACATCCCATCCCTTAATAATAGGCGCATTTTTAATGTTTTTATTTTCGATCACGCCTGAGAAACGCAGGAATATTTTCTCGCAAAGTAAATTGATCGGCCTAGATACAAATTCAAACAAAACTACAAGAAACCTTGAAATTCATGTCTTGTGACCAGACTACAGGATTAATTAATAGCATTACATTAAAATAGCTAATAAATCCTTCAAAACCAAATAAAGATGTCTTAAAACACGTATAATACGAAATATTAACCTTGTCTGTTTACATCCTTTTGGGACACTGTGTATGTGTGTATGGAGACAACAGTAACATCCAAATATTTTTCATACAAAATTTGACTAGTTTTCTTAGAGTCCCAATTTCACAAATTTAAAGATCAGTAAAATATACACTACTGTATATTGTCCTTTATTTTACATACGTTCCATACTTAATCATTCACTCAAAGGAAATAGTGTAAATTGAGGGTGTCTGATAAAATGTTGAGTAGAATATTGTGAGATTGGGCATAAATGCAGAACGAAACTGACAAATTTCCGGTTAAAATATAGAACTGAAGAAACCGTTTCTGAAAAGAAAGCGCAGTTGGAGGATAATATTAAAATAGAAGTTAGACAAACAGCTTGTGGAGTGAGCTGAATCAGGACAGGATTAAGCGATGGGTTATGCTGAAGACTCTAATGATCCTTTGGGTTGTATGAAAGGAAAATAATTCTTGACTAGCTAAACTTATTTGCTTCTTTAGATAATAAATACACCATATTAATTACAGCCCAAAAAACATTGGCCTACGTTATTTTAACTTTGTTTTTGTTTAAATTTGTGAATCTTGCAAAGTCATGTGTATATTTTGGATCATTGAAACTCAAGCGAACGAAGGTGTTTAAAAAAATACGTGCCCTTCTTCTATTTCTAACAAGAAGGACCATCCGTGTGAGAATTCGTCTCTGTTGTGCCGCGACATTTCGGTCCCAGTGCTTCAGCGGTCTAAAGATAGAGACTTGCGGCAAACAAAGTCCACTTCCGACTCTTTTCTGGGTCACACTGAAACCCTATATTGAGTATATAAACACTGGTATTTTTGACCATCAGAGCGAGTCAAGGCCTTCCTGCACACATAAGGCGCGGCACTGATTCATGTTTACTGAAGTAATTCAGACCTTGGAAGAGGGTCTTTTTATGGAGTTAATTATGTTAGTTCAAACTGTCAAGAACATCCCAGCTTCCAGAGAAGCTCGACACTAGACCATATTCTGAGCCAGCTGAATCAAGTTCAGAACTTCACATTCGATTTCTCTAATATCTGTTTAATAACGTATTCCTCTATCTCCCAAATAGTCTATTATCCAGGGGGCTTGCAATCCAAATTTCACGATTGCTGCATGTCCAACTAATCCTAACAAGTATGGGAAATGAATATAAGTTGTGTATGAAGTCTCTCGTAATGAAATCGTCTCTGTTTTCTGTTATTTTACCTTTTTAAAATCTTTTTATTCTTTTCAGCAGCTCGTTCTGAAGCATGCAGGCCCATTTTATGCTCAGAATCAGGAACTACTTGAATCCATGGAGCAGGGTCCTTCTTTTTTAAGAGCAGGTGACAGCTCGGTTGTTCAAGGACTTCTCCGAATTTTACAGAACCTGAAATGTTATTGCCATGCTCACAAGAGCTCTCTACTGATCCCTTTTCTGAACCAGTTCAATACAATCAACGCCCTAACATTCTATTTAATGCCTGTTTTAATATTGCCATCTTATCTGTAGCTAGATTTGTCACTTTCTTCCAGTTTTCCGACTGCACTTTTATACGCATTTTTCAGGTAATTGTGTTTGAGCAACACGCATTGAAGATGTATGGAGAAGTGGAAGCAAGGCTCCACTTGCTTTCTTTAGCTGCGTTTGCCAGAATTTTACCTAATGGCATTCCGAGAGTTTACTTGGCCAGGCATCATGACAGTATTTGGCGCCACGCCTACCGTTGGGACTGTCTTCGCGGGTTCATGTGTGTCATGGTTGTCATCCCAAGGGTCACGTATCGTTGAACATCATAGAGAAAATTATCCCAGAAACTTAAAATCTTTACCGAGACTTGAACTCAGGGCAGTTTTCAGGTTTATGACCTTTCCTCTAATCTCCTTTCCAAAACGAACAAATTTTATGTTGGCGTCGTTCTTCTTTGCGCTTAGTTTTTGAGCTACATAAAATTTCCTCTTCAGGACTGGAACCCAGGACAGATTTCGGTGTTGCGGCATTTGTTTCCATAATCTCCTCTTCGAAAAAACAAAACAACTTTAGTCTTGACGCCGTTCTTCTGTTTTGCGTAGTATCCGAGCTACAGAAACCATCTTAAAGAATGTCGTAGTTCAGTGGTTAGCTGTCGTGCTACGTATTTGAGAGGTCCCAGTTCAAATTTTGGCCTGAAGACCGGCTATCCTGACTGAGGTTTATCATGGTTTTCCTCCGCCTCTCCAGGCAACTTCCGGGATAGCACCTTATAATATGCCACGACAGCTTCCTTTCACGTCCTTTCGAATTTATTATTGTCATCATCTTATTCGACGCTGTACAGTCCAGATATTGAAAGCGTCATGAAGTAAACTATAAATGAATAGAAGCCATTTTCACTTGGAATCGAACCCAGGACAATGTTTCGGAGTATTGTGCTAGGCGCCATTCTCCTACCGTTCTTAAATTCCCGAGTTAACAGGAATCGCGTTCTGCGGGATTCAAACTCTGGATACTTCTGATTTAAGAAAATATGTATGCCAAGTATGGTGCAAATCGGTACGTCTCTTCTGGAACAACAAGTGAACAAACACAAATCCAGAATTTGAACTTTGTATGTAAAGTTGTTTAAAGAGCTTCGTCATAAAGGGTTAATAAAAGAAATAAGTAATGTACAAGAATATGTAATGAAGCGCTACAACGTGAAGTCCGTGAATATCTAGGCCAAGTGGACAGTTCCGATGATTTTCATGTCTTTCCGTCTCCTTCACTAATATAAATGTCCTTACATCTCCCTGCTAATAAGACCTTACCTGTTTCAACATTGATTTGAGTGGTGCTACTAAGAATGCATGTGTTGAGGTGTGACTTATGAAAGCTAATTTTATATTTAAAGTTTTTTTTTTTTTGCTACTATGATGCATACAACTACTGACCTATGCCAACGTAAACTTTGTAGAGTTAGGTTTGCGAATGGAAAACGAATAGCATTGTACATACTATAGGCCTATACGACATGGCGTCTGTCCACCAGAGCCAATCAGTTGTTATCTCAGGTTCTCGCGGTGGCGAATATGATGAAGGCATTCTTGCGGGATATTGTGCCGTATAGTTTCGTAGAAGTTGATAGACTTCAGGACTTAATATTCCAGGAGGCCGTCTGTCATCTTCAGAATCGGACAAGTTGGTTAATTATGATTATCACGCGTGATTGAACTAGTGCCGTCCATTCTTCGTATGTAAATATACCTGCATGTGTCTTTGTTACTTTTTTGCGCGCAGCAAAGGAACGGACTGGTTACCCAGCAGCCCTGAGGATGAGAAAAGAGATTGTTCTCGAAACGTTGGCAGAAGATATAGTTTGTTGCGCGATCAGCCACCTGACGCGGCTTGTAGCGAGAATCTTAAAATATCGAGATATCCTCCATGCACAATCGTCACGGTCTTCATGTCACCAGCCGCAATGCCTTATTTATCCACGTAGTGACAAGAGACATAAAGGAACGAAACAGAAATGATCACAATGTATTTACTTACGTCTGAATTTCAGCGGTCGAGCTTAGAGGCTGATGCAGTTATGCATTAATGCATTTGATTTCCGTTGTGCATTACGTAACCAGTACTACGAATGTGTGTGTTGGGTGGGGGGGTTTGGGGGGGGGGGGGTCATGGGAGGTACCGAACAAGAACCTCGCTCTCTACTTCTTGCGAACATGACTTGCAGTAATGTTGCTTCTAGCACAACCAATTCGCCCATGCCAAGCATAAACTCACCACCTTATCCTTCAGAAATAGGCGTGAAAGGCAGGTTGATTTGTAGGTTATTTAACTTCAGAGGCTATTTAGGCTGGTACGAAATTATTAGATGATAATTTATTTCATGTTTTATGTTACTACTCTGTAAAATCTCAGATTGTTTAGCTTTTAATGACAATATGATTAATTAGTTAATATTAATTGCAAGGGGTGTGAAACTAAGCGGTCGTGGCCTAATTTAAGACGGTATACAACTTTTCGTGGAGGGTCGGGGTAAAAATATGAAAAGTATTAGTCAGGATAGTCACATTCAAGATACAAATTTCAATCCCGGACGTTTTAATTACGAAGCATCAATTCATAATCATTCTGGCGCGGCGTTCGGTTATGGACGATCATGATTTGTGAGTAGGAAATGATTTTATATCGTCGTGACAGGGTAAAGGGATAACAAATTCAATAGCTGAAACAGAAGTAATATTGTGTATGATTTGAGGTCTTCACAGCGGTAGGTATTGAGATTTCTGTATTCTGGGTTGTTGCGCTGTGTGGTATGGTAGATGTTTACCAACGTTTCAGAGGTCATACTGCCTCCGTCATCAGGGCGATCATAGGGTTTCGTGAATTTTTATACTTATGAAGGAAGGTTATCAGTGAGAATATCACACACAGGCATTGTAACATTTTTTTTTTGTAAATTAAGGCTAAAAGTATACTAAATACTCTGTACACTTTTAGATGCATAGAATAAACACCATTATGTGAAGAATTTGATGTATTCCGCTTTGCGAAATTTGCGCCTGACTTGAAACAGAAGTACGGTAACTACCGGTTATACATAACTAGTTTACACTGTTAGCGATAAACTAATCTGATATTCTCTCTTTGTTACAGGTAAGTAGCATTCGGGGTTCAATTCACTGACCTGCACCCGCTTACGTACTAACTGCGAACACGTCCCGCTGTCCTTTGTTCCAGGAAGCGCATATTTGCAGTAGGTAGGTAATAACACTTCTTCCCTAATTACCTGGACCCTAAATCCATTTTGTATTTTATTCAGCCACTTCGTCGCTCCACAGTGGACAGCACCCCGATCCTCTTCATCAAATCATGATTTTACCTCAGATTCACTGCCAACTTTTTGATCTGTGAAGGGCGTCCGAAATACCAGAAGATATTCACTCTGAAGATGTCAACTGCAGTGTTTTCCGAGGTTGGGGGCTTATTTCCTAAAGCCGGCGTTACACACACACTAAGTTTGTTAAAATTACTTTACTTTCGTTATATTACGTTTATGAGAAAATCTGTTACCCCTGTTTATATACGAAAACATTCATATCCAGTTGTTAGTGTTGTCTAGTTGCGTCCAAATTTATAGACTGTATTATCGGTATACTGTAATGAAAAGTCTTTCATCAAAGATGGTGTTATTGCATGTTTGTAGTCAGACGGGCACATAGGACTTACGTGTTAATGGTTCACACATTCTTGCGAACGTACCTAAATATAACGGCCTGAGATCTTTATTCTTTGTGTTATACAGCAATGATCGTTCTGCTGGAGGCCATTATGTGGCTGCTGAACAAGTATATAGCGTCGTCATGCATAAAGTGGTTTGCAACTTCAAGATTTGTCTGCATCCTTTTATCAGAGTGTAGGTGAAATCAATAAACACTTTGTTATCGGAGAAAGGACTGAAGTGATTGATAATCATTTTCCATGGGATTTGTGAATAAAGAAATGGAACTTTGGAAGGACAAAGCCCATCTATATAATATTTAATAAACATGTTTCTACCTTCATAAAACAAATACGTCTCTTACACCTCAGCTCACTTATTCGCTGGGTTTTGCTGGGAATTTACATTGCATTAAACGAAAGGCAGTTGAAGTAAACATCTTTAAGTTAAATGTTAAAAAGATCAATGGATCAATGTCGCTTACAGGACTAACTGTTGCTTACTCAGACAACCAAGCTGTCAATTAGCTTAGTTAATGAACGTTAAAGCTACTGGTACAAATTGCCATTACTGCATTTTGAAATCTGCTGTTTATCGTCATCCAGTAGTAGACAGTCAGAAAGTTCCTCTACCGTGTTAGTCACGTGATATTTTAAGAGCCTTGTAGCAAAGCGATTCCAATTATCGTTTTCCTGTTTGCAGTAGCAAAACATGTCGTACGTCACTCGCGGTTTGGCCTCCCTGGTTATCTGAATTAGAAATTTGTTTCTAAAACGAATATTCCTACTATTCTTTAACTTCAATGCTCTGAAAATGCTATTTGTCGTGTTTGGAAAGACCGGACATTTATTTTCTCATATAGTTCTGTAGTTTAGAATATCCAACAAATATGATTTAGCCAAATAGTATTGTCTGAAGCTGTAAGCTATATTTGGAAGTTACCCGGTTCGATGTCGGTGAGGGCACTGGCTGCGAGCCTGTTGACGAAGGTTTGTCATAATTTTTCTCGGGCCATGCAAGCGAACGCTACAATAGTGCTTTGAAATGGGTCACTACAAATTCCTTCTGTTTTAGTATATTCTGTGTACTAATTCGACGTTAAATAATCTCAGTAGTTGGTACTACGTTGTTAAATATCCTACTTACAAACTTTCTACAGAGGTTATGTGGAAAAGAATGAGGTTATAGAAGCTCTGTGTTTGAAGGAACGGACAACTTTAACAATAAAGATCAGTGAATATTTATGTATTCTGGGTTGTTGCGCTGTGTAGTCTGGTAGATGTTTACCAACGTTTCGGAGGTCATACTGCCTCCGTCATCAGGGGGATTGAAAGATTCTGAAACGTTGGTAAACATCGACCAGACTACACAGCGCAACAACCCAGAAGACAGAAATCTTCATACTCACCGCTGTGAAAATCTCAAATCATAAATAGATAGCAATGTTTTTCAGTCGGTGTACCAGGAGACCATGGTTTGCCACGAGGTGACTCAAGTATTTGCGGTCTGTTTAACAACGTTATCAATATCCCATATCAAGAAGTGTTATATTATATGATGGTTAACGAATAACATATCGGAAAGATGGACTAAAGCTGTCGTGGTTTAACGTCCAGTAATTTAATGGAGGTACTGAGGTCGGCCTTAAAGAACCTCGCTATTTCCGGTGTCTGGACTCAAATTTGAATCCGAGACCTTCCGAATACGAAATATTCAGCCCCGACGTACGAGAAAAATGAACACTTAAGGAAAATTTAATAGTAGTTCAGTACTGCATATTAATGCAGTTCCAAAATCTTGTAACACACATACTTCAGAATGCAAACGAGCCAAATAACATAATGAGTTTGTAACAAGTGTATATTATTTTGAATTAGCAAATACGATCGGTTATGTACACCAATGTAAGTGTAGAACAACACAGATAATAGTGCACATTAGAGACATGGTACCGTTTGACAAAACAGCAGAATAGTAAATGAGAGTAACAGCATAGTTTTGTATGATGTAATTTTAACTTATTTTAATATATTTATGAAAAGGAAAGTGGCATGTTGTCGCTTTAGAACACAGACAAATGTCCCAGTGGCGATATAATACCTGTCGAAACATGTCGCCGTTTAGTAATGTTTTATTAAGAAATTTTATAAATTGAGCTGAAATTAAATTGAATCGTAATTTATGCTTTTTTTACCAAATATTAAGGTGATGAAATCAAGAAGGAAGAGATGGACAGGACATGTAATACGCATGAGAAGACGAGAAATGCATACAGATTTTTAAGCGGGAAACCTAAAGCGAAGAAACAATTTGGGGCAATTTATTAACAGTTGGGAGGGCAGAAATAAACTATTTGTGGGCTGGAATCACTTGGCTCAGGTAATGGTCCAGCGACTGCCGTTTGTGAACGTGGTAATGAACCTTCGAGTTCTGTAATAGATGAAGAATTTTTGACCAGCTGAGCGACTATCATCATCTCAAGGAGGACCGATTCAGTCAGTTATTTGTTCCGGACACAATTTAAATATGAATGACGATCTTGATAAATAAATCCATGTAGCATTTCCAGTTAGGAAGAGCAGTTTGGAGACCTGCTGTAGGGTTTGTTGACCGCCTGAGGTCACTGCGGGCTGCTCGCTGCTAGTTAGTGCCTGAGATGTAGAATAGGGTGACCTTGCCCTTGGCATTGCAGAGTGATGTAGACAGGGAGGGGTTAGTCAGGACACAGGGCGGTTCCCGGGGATGGTTAGGAGGGAGGGAGGGAGTGCAAGAGAACGGGCCTGCAATCAATAAATGCCTCGAAAAAGGCAAGGCTTGTCTGAAGTTCCTCACAATCTCGTGTACTGTCATGCAGTGTTGAAGGATATACTGTAACTCTGTCGTAGTACTTCTAAAATCCATGGAACAAAA